TGAAGAGTGCAGAATTCTTTGGGAAGAATTAGAGATACACGAACACTGCCTGAATTTAGAGGCCATCTCAAGAACAGATTGATGTATTGAACACTAATGATTGAAGACCAGAGAAGTTGTGGAATGGCATCAAGAACAATATACCTGAAAAAAGCAATAAGTCATTAAAAATACAGGAAAGAAAAGACCAAAATGGATGTGTAGAGATTCTGAAACTTGTTCTTGAATGTGGAGTAACTAAAGAAAATGGAAGTAATGAAGCAAAAGGTGAACAGAAAATTTCTAAGATCCAAATGTGGAACTAGGGCTACCATTACTGATGTCAGATAGATCTTGACTATGCAAAGGTATTTAATGGTATTGATCATAACAAATTGTGGGTAACAATAAGAAGAATGGATATTGCAGAACACTTTATTGTGCTCAGGTAGAGCCTTTATGATGTTAACCAATGCAGTCATCTGAACAGAACAAGGGATTACTGAAACCATGTGTCAAAGTTGTACTCTTGACACCAGATTTATTAATGCGTATGCTAAGGATATAATCTAAGAAGCAGAATATATGAAGAATGTGAAATAAGTATTGGAGACTTATTAAGGTTGTGTCATCTGCATATCTGTGATATACTAAAAGTGCAAAGGACTTGAAGTACTTACTGATGATGATCAAAGACTACAGCCTTCAATATGGATTACAACACAATATAAACAAAAATCCTCATAACTGGACCAAAAGACATCATGATAAATGGAGAAAAGACTAGAGTTGTCAAAGATTTCATTTTACGTGGATTCACAATCAACACTCATGGAAGCAGCAGTCAAGAAATCAAACCTATACTGCACTGAGCAAATCTGCTGCAAAGGATCTCATTAGAGAGGTCAAGAACAAAGATGTCACTGTGAGGACAAAGGTGCTTCTGGCCCAACCCACATCTCATTTGTATGTGAAAACAGGATGATGAATAAGGAAGACTGAAGAATTGATGTACTTAAATTGTGATGTTGGCAAAGCATACTGAAAGTACCATGGACTGCAAGAACATATCTCTGCTGCAAGAATTACAACCAGAATGCCCCTCAGAAAAGAGGATGGAGAGACTTCATTGTACATACTTTGGACCTATTATCAGGAGGGATCACGTTAACTGAAAAAGGACATCATGCAGGGTAGAAGGTCAGCAAAAAAAGAACACTTTCAACGAGATAGGTTGACACAATGGCTGCAACAATGGACTCAAACATAACAAATGTGAGGATGACACAGGATGGGCAGTGTGTTGTTCTGTCGTGCATAAAGTTGATGACTCAATGGCACCTAACAACAAACAGCATCAACTCACAACAATGGATTTGATTGGATGAAGCTACTGAATTTGGTTTCATGCTTTCAACTAGTATTGGTATTGTTGTTGCTGTTAAGTGCAGTTGAGTCGGTTCTGACCCATAGCGGCCCTGTATAGGTAGGGTTTCTGTGGAGTAGCTGGTGAGCTTGAACCACCGACTTTGCAATTCAAACTAACTTGCAGCCCAGCACATAACTATTGGTATTACTGCTCTTTAATTAAAACAACAACAAGAAGCAGAACTCTGAAGAATGTACAAAATCCAGAAAATTCCTGATGACTGCAAAGATCCTGTTATTCTCATGCAAGCTGGAGGCAGGAATTTTGCTAACTACACAAATACTTGTAGCTTAACCAGAACCACCCTAGTTTTGCCTTGTACTTTCTCAATTACTGAACACTCCAAAAGAGAATGTTCCTATTTTGTTTTTAGCATTGTTAGCCACATTTAGAAATGAGATGCAGAATACAAATCTACTGCTCTAGAAGTATTTAAAGTTTACCTTGTAACATTCCTTCATAACCCTTCATACATGGCTTCCTAAAAATGCTGCTTGAATATATATCCCAATTTTCCAACAAGAAAGAAAGCTCATGGATAGTAACTGGACTTGTTTCTTTTCTACCTTCTCTCCAAGCCTGAGCAGACGTATAATCTGGTATTCTATACAGACACTCAATGATGTTGTAGAACCAACACCTAAAACTCTGGAAAAAGATTTCATCTAAAACATCATACTTCTGAAATAATTAAATAATTACAAGGGTATGTACATTTTAATAAAATGGATTTATTTAAAAGACTACAAAATTTGACACTGAGATAAAAAAAAGAAAACCCACAGAATTTAAACTGATAAATACAAAAATGATTGGCTATAAACAATGGAAAAATATATTTCCCAGCCCCCAAACAGAATATAATTTAAGTATAACAATTAATAAAATGTCTACATTGTGTTATTTCCCTTACAATTCTTAAAAACCATTCTAAACAACTTATTTGTGTGAAATAAACCAAATTTACTAATTATTAGTAAAAATTATTTTAAATTTATTGTTTGCCCTTTTCTGTATATAATAGTGATTTTTAACTCCAAGTTTTCTTGAATCTTTTTATTTGCCATTATAAAGTTTTCACTCCCTATTCGTTTCATAACATGAGAGGCTAACTAGCCATGGATCCCATAAAACCAATGTACAGGAATGTTTGAGTAACCAAACCCACCAGTGAACATATTATCTTACTGAAAAGGAAAGGATCAAGTGTCTAGCTGGCAAGTCCTTGGCTGCACCAATGAAACAAATGAAGGAGAAACCTCAGAGCACTCAGAACTGGAGCTCAAGGCCAATGTGTTATATGTGTGAGGTTAGCTGAGGATATGACCATTAAGTTCAACTAACCCCACTGCATGGGTGGAGACCCTGAAGTTGCCCAAATGGCTTGTAGTGAATTCTAGTTGGATCTAGATACTCTCAAAATGATAATGGTACACTTTAATGTGAAATTCCAGAACTTGCCCATCACAAACTGGCTATCTTTGAAAGAATCTTTATTCTTGCACCTAAGATCTACGGTGTTTATCTTTTAGATGGCACGCACACTAATAACAGCAAACATGATCAGTTTCGTTATCTCCCCAAGTAGTGGTGACATCACAACTAATACAAGCATCCAGGCTGATGCAAATGGATAAGGTCCCAAATCAAAATGACAAAGTAGAAGCTGAGCAGATATACTTACCAATTTCTGAAAATCACACTAGCCATATTAGTGAAGTCAGCTAAAACCCATCTACACACAACAGCAAATGATTAGCTGAAGAAGGATGAGGTCATTACAGTCTATCATTGGAAACATGATTCCACTGTTTCAAATAGAAAACTAGCTCAGGAAGCCTCCACCAAAGTACTGAAGGACCTGACACATGGACATAACACTAGAGTCGTTAGTCACAAGTCTAGGAGAAGGATAACGAAGGTGATGTCTGTGAACCAATTGGTCAGAAAGATCTTATCCCACGGGCCCTATTCGTTATTTGGCTCTAAGACAGAAATAGACAATTCTCCCAAATTACCAAAACTGATTATAAAGTGTCTCATGAGAATGGTCTGACTACTCCCTTATACTATCGGCTGCATTAATCAGGACAGGATTCTCCTGGATATTCACTTGATTAGAAAAACAAAAACTAGAGCAATGCCAAGTGGGAACGAGGATCCTAACACTCCTACTCGATACTTTCTCTAAGATTCTGGACCACCTAAAGATAACTGACAACAAAGTTAGAGCATGGTCCACCTCTGCCAGACAATGAAGCACTGTCGGTTCCAACCCTTATCAATCCTGTATAGGATTTCCGACTGCCAACCTTGCAGTTTGCAGTCCAGTGCTTATCCTACAGTGCCACACCAGGACCCCACCCATTCTGCTAAGAAGAGACAATAAATCCAAGACCAGAGTGACTGACTTCTTAGATGGAGTTTTAAAATAAGACAGGATGTTAAGTTTAAACAAAGAAACAAAAACACTAAAAGAGAGCCCGAGCTGTATTAATTGAAGTAAAACTAAGCAGATGTCAACATGGAAACGGACCATTTCTAAGTCACAGAGATGTGAACCCATCTCTTCCTGTCAAGTGTTTGAAGCTTATTTTTATAATTACTTTCACTGCATTAGGCAAGTCCTAAATATATAATCTTTTAAAAAAAATCTTTGGTCCTTACGCCTTTATATCAGTCTGTTCTATCTTGCTATATTATATAATAATCTTATTTTACTTAATATTATCATCGACTACTGAAGTGCAGTACAAACGTGGGGGTTGCTTATGTTTTATACACATAAAATATCCATGACTCACATATAGAATTGATATTAGGCTATAATACAGGGCTTCTGGTGTGGTGCTATAAGATCAGCACTGGACTTCAAACCACAAGGTCAGCAGTTCAAACTCACCAGCCGCTCCTCAGAAACCCTATACAAGGTTGCTGTGAGTCGGAACCAACTCAAAGGCACTTAACAACAATATACTAAAGTCACAAAACAGTTATTAGTAATTATTCTAAAATATCACAATATAATTTTAAGGCTGAGTGGGATACAGTATAACCTGGTTATTATACTTTGAGGGAAAAACCCAGACCAACATTTTAAGAATTGATCCTTAAGTATGCATTTCAGTGAAAAGATCATAATCTAATAATTTTCTATTTATTTATTTTCTTTTACCATAAAACAAACTCATAGCTAAGCAAATGAATTTTAAAATGAAACAATTTCTAAAAGGATGAACCAAATAATTATACTATTTATATAACTATAAAGCATAATTTGGAAAGCTAAGCCTAGTAACATATTTTTTTAAATGAGAGAAAAACATGTGATCTATATAATTTAAAGAAACAATTGGCCTTGGTCTCTCAAAAAAAAAAAAAAACCAAAAACCTCTGGTACAATTGTGGTGACTGACATACACACAGTCCAGTGTTGATACAAACTGCCCTCTTTCCCTTCTACTCCGCTCTCCAGAGAAGTGGATGACACAAATTCTTCAAGAGCTTCTGCCATGGCTCAGGCATCATACAGAGCAAGTGGCTTCTATAAACCTGGTCCCCAGAGGTAAGTGGCTGAAGGAGCACTTGTGCCCTAGGGAACATTTAGTGGTTCCGTGAATTCTGCCGGAGTCTCTGGTTTTCTCTGCTGGGCCTGTCGTTTCTCATACAACATAATGAAAAAGTCAGCTAGAAACATAATACATGCCAAGAATCCAAACACCTGAAGAAAAAAAGAGAAACATCATTTGAAGAATTTTGGAATATAACCTCACATTTTCTACTTGGCTGTGAAAGTATTTTATGCAAGCTAGGCAATTAATCACTCTTATCTTATACACACTACTCTTACTTTAGTGGTACAATTTTGTTTTAAATCACAAAAAAATGGAGGGGGGAAAGATAGTAAGTACTGTTAGTCAAAATCTATAAAATACAAAAGTTCTTGCCTTATGTGAGTGTGTTTATGTGTTGGGGGCCAATATATGAATCTAAATGTTAACAGCTGAAAAACGAAATTCTATAAAATGATACTAAACATAGGATTATTGGCAGTGGTTAGACTGCCATATAACTATAATCAGAGAAATATATATGAATAGGCAGCTGAGCCCAGGCAGAAGTGAAAACATTATTAATACCAAAACAAATTCTATTTTGAAGACACTACTACATTAAATTACTTTAAAAAATATTTTCTAGCTAAAGTCACACTGTAATGACCCAGCAACATGACGACACTACCTATTTCCTCTTCCTTAAAACACTTCCTCATTGTACTCTTCCAACATATGATTAAACATTCTGAGAATTCTGTCAAGAGATAAAAGGCACACTTCAAATCTACCTTCTCCGCTAGCAAACCACTTAAGGAAATGGGGCCAGAAAATGCTCTCTAAAAAAAGAAAACCGATCTAAATTATGGCTAAAGTCTCCCAATTTTAACACTCAATTTTTAACAGTCTGCTGTTACAGTCTTCTGATTCTTCCTCTCCTCAATCCCACTACCCTAAAGATATGCATTCTTTATTTCAGTATAAAGCAAACTGTGCTCCAAATTCATTAATTTACCTGATGTCCCCAACATATCCAACCTAAATTTTTATCATTGCTATGATCCCAAACTCAAACTTCTTTCTCTCCACTGGAGTCTTTATTTTGACCAGTCAGCATCTATGCCTTTATTTGCAAGTCAAACTTCTGAAATGTTTCAAATGCAGATGAGCTATCACCTTGTCTGTTAGGTCACCTCTGACTACCCTGGTGAATTCCAGTTCAAGCAGAGCCCTGTATGCCCTATAATCCACAGAAGTGATCTACTAGCTCTTTTACTCACCTACAATTTTTTAAATTATTTTTTAAAACATGACGGATTCCCTTGCCCATTTAAATCTATAAAACTTTTCATAAATAGTTGTAAATGTAAATTTCTAGTACATTACACGCTCCTTAAACGACTGTTGTTGTTGCTAAGTGTGTCAAGTCTGATCCAACTCATAGAGATCCCACATAGAGCTTCCAAGTAGAGGCTGGTGGGTTTGAACTACCAACCTTGCGGTTGCGATTAGCAGTCCAGTGCTTATTCTACAGTGCAACACCAAGTCTCCCCTTTGTTAAGTACCATCAAGTTGGTTCTGACCCACAGCAACCCTGTACAGGGTTTCCAAGGAATGGCTGGTGAGCTTGAATCGCTGACCTTGAGGATCAAACTGACTTTGCAATCCAGCACATTAATGCACAGTGCCACACTAGTCACTCTTAAATATATCCATTGAAATCTATATCTACTGTAATAATCTAACACCTCACTTACTTAAAAGACATAAATAAGATTTCTGAAAAGTCAGATCAATTATACTAATCACCAAATCATACTCCTCTGCAGCAAAAGTATATAAGCTGAAATTAATCATGGTGGTGGTGGTGATGCATATGAGCCGTGGAGTTGGTTCTGACTCACAGTGATACAGTATATCTTTACAAGATCAGAAAGCCTCATCTTTCTCCAGAAGAACAGCTGTTTAGTTTCAAACTGCTGACATTGCAATTAGCAGCCCAATTTGTAACTCACGACACTACCAGAGCGCCTGAAATTAATCATAAGGCCCTGACAAAACTTTATTCAGAAATTTTTCAATTGGCTTATGTATTTATGCATAAATATTATTTATTGATAGAATGAGCAAAGTTCAGTATTCATTTTATTTCTGTTCTGCTTTTACATGTGTAAGTTCTAAGAAACCCGGGGCACATAAAAAGGTAGGTAAGAAATCATCATAAGCATGCTATGCAATGTCCTGAATTCCTTTTGAGTTGTTCTATCACAAAAAAATAATTTTAATGATTTTTCAACTACAATTCAATTAATTACAACTTTAATTTTGCTAAGAACAAAGTATTAATAAGAAATCAAGTGATTTGCAAGAAGATTGGCTATCCAGTCATGAGTCAGTCACATTTACAACAGTGGTACCAATTCAGGGCCACAATCCCTACCTAAGATTTGCAATGCTGAAATCCAAAAAATGATAAAAACAAACTATTCAAGACTCACTTGGCTCAAAATTTACACTAGACAATTTACAGTCTTCACCTGTTTTACTATAATATTCATGTTTTGCGTCAGTATTAATTTGTTAGATGAGAGTATTGCCGTAGGCCCTCTGAAGGTGTTATACAATATAGTATATATGCAAACTACTGACTAAAATCCAGAATATCCTGAATTTGAAAAAGCACCTGGACCCAAGGATTTCAGATAAGAACTGTAGCTCCTATTTTGAACTGTTCCTTTGTGGCATCTGACAGTTTGGGCTATTTGTTTTTGTTTTTTACATCTTATGACAAAGCATAAAAGTAAGATTTGAGACAAGCAAAAAACACATTTTTTTCTTTTTGTAGATGTGACTGCAAAAGGGAAGATGGATAGGAGCTGGATAGACTCTTCCACCAGAGATGCATTCTTAGACATGGCAGATTTGAGAACGATTGTATATGGATGTTAAAAAGTTAGAAACTGGTTTTCTTAAACTCTACCTGTTGTGTTGTTGAGCTGATTCCAAGTCAAAGTGACCCTGTGACAGAGTAGATGTGCCCCACAGTTTCCTAGATTGTAATCTTTACAGGAAGATCACCCGATGTTTTCACCCACAGAGTGGCGAGTGGGTTTGAACCACTGCCCTTTCCAGTTGCACCATCAGGATTCCTTTATCCTTGCCCAGTACTCCTTGGGAAGTCTTGAAGCACCCTTAAAGACATGCTTAGCCCATTGGAGACTGTGGTCTATTTAACATACCAAACCCACTGCCATCCAGTTGCTTCCTACTCATACCGTCCATGTATGAAGGAGCAGAACGGTGCCACAGGGCTTCCAAGGCTGCTATTGGATCACAAGGTCGGTTTGAAGTGCAGGGTGGACATTCCAAACTCACCAGCTACTCCTCGGAAACCCTATACAGGGTCACTATGAGTGAGAGCCGACTCGATGGCACCAACAATAACAACAACAAAGCTTTATGGAAGCGGACTGCCTCATCTTTCTCTTTCAGAGCTGCTGGTGGGCTTGAACCATCAACTTTTCAGTTAGTAGCACAATGCTTAACCCACTGTACCACCAGGGCCCCTTCATTTAACATATTCCACTACAATTTGTTTATCTAACTTTTTTATTAGGCTGTAAACTGTGTATTCTCTATAGCTAGAATAGCACCAGGCATGTACGTTTTTCTGCTGAAAAGTAGAATACAATATAATAAAGTCAGTTTTACTACATAACAATATATTCATATATGGAGTAAACGGATTTTTATAAAGAAAACTCTGTCAGATTCTAAAGACAGGGTCTAGATTTTGAAGGCTATCATATTTATTCATACTTATTTACTTGTGTGGCACTGTAGGATGAATACTGGACTGCTAACCGAAAGGTTGTTGTCATTAAGTGCTGTCAAGTCGATTCCAACCCATAGCGACCCTATATAAGGTTTCCGAAGAGCAGTTGGTGAGCCTGAACCACCGACCTTGCAGTTCAAATGGCTTTACAGTCTGGTGCATTAACCCACAGCGCCACACCAGGACAAGCAGTTCAAACTCACCAGCCACAAAAGTCAAAAGCACACTGAAGAAAACATGAGGGGACTCCAAAAGTTCACAGAAAATTCCACTATCTTCTAATCCTATTTCTATACAACTTTTTAAAAGCTACTTTGTACCTTAAAATGCTTCCCCACTGTCTTACTTGTCAAGCCTTTTCCAAATTGCTGTATTTCTAGGGAAATGGAAGTAAACAAAGGTTAAAAAGTACAAGATACTTACAATTGCAGCAATTTCAGCTGATGTCTTATCATGTGTGGCAGCAAAAATAATGGATGCCAACAAAAACACAATTCCTGCTCCCAAAGTAATATAAAAGTCCTATGGATACATACAAAACACAATAAAGAATACAGTATGGATAGACTGATTAAAACAAGTAATTAAACTGTCTACTTTTTTGAAAATCAGTGATTTTTTTTTTTTCTCTCAATGAAATGCAAACATATGATACTGCAACTTTAAACTTTCAATAAACCATTGGTATGTGCTCTGTAAAGAAAAACTACCCAAACTCTGGACTGGGCATATTCAGAAAGCACAGCACAAGATAATCTTTTACCAAAAACAGTCCTCCAAACGGCTGTGGGTGTGCATATGCGTACATGCATGTGTGTGTATATACAGTAGGCTAGTAACCCTTTTCTTCTGTTAAATGCTGTTGAGTCGGTTCCAACTCATAGCAACTCTGTATAGGGTTTCCAATAAATAGGTGGTGAGTTTTTTTGAGCAGTCGTGATGAGCAGTCCAGAGCTTATCCTACAGTGACACATCAGGACTCTTTTTTTCTTTAGAAATAGTATCAAAGCCAAAAGATTTATTAAAATTCTATCTTTTAATGAATCTTTCCTAGCAAAAGAAAAAACTGTTATTCCCTGTAACGTATTTGATACCAGAATAGCGTCTTTGAAGAGAACTTCAGTGCACTGAAAGCAATTTGGAAGAGAAATCAAAAAAACCAACCATCATTAAATAAAATTACTCCAACAGTATGTTTTTATAAACACCTTCAACCTTTCCCTGTGGGTAATCTAAAACGAGCTTGTATGATGAGCTTATCTACTACATAAAAGCTTCCACATCACATTATAAGGCAGCTTACAACAAAGAAGTACCTCTGGGTTTCAAAGTGCTCTCTCACAAATCACCTCAGAAGGTTCTTACATACCAACTGAAAATAGTGCTTGTCATACAAATTTGATTCAGGTGGAATAACTGGTAAGGCAATAACCACTCCAAAGGGTTCGAACTGTGATCCTTTTTGAAAGGTTTTTTGAAATGTAACCTTCACTAAACCTACTATTAAAAAAAGTATCTGACAAAGAATTCCTATACTGTCAATTGTTCACATCTGTAAAAAATTTTAACTTCCGCTTTATTTCTAAAAGAGATGTTTTTCTGCAATAGGTTCTCCATTATTTTCCTATTCTTTTTTATGTTATTCCAAATTTGCCTCCTAGAAATAAAAAACCCTACCCACATTTGAAGTACATTCAAGGAGATACTTAAACAAGATATAACTTTATGCCCCATTAATGATGGTTATTGTTAGTAGAATCTGATCCATGATAACCAGGAACAGAAAATAGGTCTTAGGCTATTGTTCTTACCTAAACCCCATCACCATTAAACATTAAAAATATTACCTCCAAAACAGAAAATCTTTTCTGCATGAAGTAATATTTAAAATGGAATTATATTAATATACAGACAGTAAAAGTGATTTTCAAATGATGGAAGCAATGAAATATGAAAACTTTATGATGGTAAGGGGAAATATACACATTCTGACAACAACTTTTAAATTTAAAAACATCACCCAGGAATAGAAATAAATGACTTAAAGTAAAATATTTACAATTGTTTTAGGGTGAAAGGACTGAACAATATATTTTTCTTTTTTCAATTGGTATTCAATACAAAGTAACTTTTTAAATGTTCACGTTTGATGTAATACATGTTTTACATTTGTTAAATGTAGGCCATTGCACTAGATATTATTACAACATTGTTTGTAGACAAAAATATCAATGTTCTTAAACACTACACAATATAGTTTATAAAGTAAAGATGAAACACTTCTAAAATTACTTTTATGGGTAATGATATTACTCACTTGCTGTTGAGAGATTAGGAAAAAAAAACAGCTTGCATCTTTAATGTTTAAAATACAAATTTACACACTCAAACCTCAAATTAATCTGCTTAGACACTAGAGATCTCATCCCTTGTCTAAATCTATTGCAGACACATGTAAAAAGGGAGAATTTTCAAAGATTACAAGCAGAACTAACAATACGTGTCTTGTTATATATTTTTTCTTATTATGTATTTCAGAAAATAAGCAGGTTTTGTTGTTGTTGTTGTTGTTAGATTTCTGTGGTAATGCTATTTGCTATGGCAGCATCTTTAGTGTTAAGGGCAATTATTTTAATCAGTTTCTGCCCAGGCCACATGGTAGAATGCAGAGTATAAGCCTTCCCTGGATTCAAATCTCAAGTTTATTTTGACTTCAGTGATGTAATTTTAGACAAGTTACTTAACCCCCTGTGGTGCAGTGAATTATCTAGTGTGTCTTCTAGCCAAAGTCTGTAATTCTTATCAAACAATGCTTCTGTCCTGCTGGCTTCTGGCTAAGAGAAGGTGGAAGAAGATATTAATAAGATGACAGAATTCAGCCAGGCATGCTAACAGAGTTCATTATAATTGTTAAAAACTTGAAACTCTAGCTTGGGTTTAAGATGAGCCATCTCAGAAGCAAGAGGAAGAGCTTACTACCATCAAAGAAGAGTGGAGCTCCTGAGTGCAGCATGTCATTTGGACCCTGAGATCCTTGCACACTGAATCAGGGACAGAAAGCTGTCATACCAGAGGAGTGGCAGAGGAGCAGCAGCAACAGAACCAAGAACCAGAGCATGAGACAGAGCAGACTCCCCAGCGCATGGAACAAGTAAAGCTGGAGGACTGGGCAGGAAGCTTGCTTATGGGGTAGGGTGCCTCCAGGCACTTAACTGGGAGAATTAGGTTTGCTGCCCCATGGAACTACAGCCAAGTGTCTTCAGGCTGAGGCTTATGGTAGCATGTGTCCTATGAGCATTCACTAGCAGCTGACTGGAGCAATCCTGAATTATAACCTATTAAAATTCCCTAACAAACCCCATAACTGTGACTATTGTTCTTGAGTTCTGTATAGTCAATGCAATGGATTACTGAACCCAGAGGAGGAGAGAATGTTCTAAGGAAGAATGGCTGGTGCTTCATATTTTTTATGTCACCTTAAGCCTAAATTTCCTCAGTAGAAAAAAGGGAGCAGTGCCTTAAAAAAAAAAAACACCTTAAAAAGAGGTGGTTCTAGTCATGTGCAGTGGAGTCGGTTCCAACTCGCAGCAACCCTGCATAGGATTTCTGAGGCTGTAAATCTTTACAGGAGCAGAAAGACTCAATCTTTCTCCTACAGAACAGCTGGTAGTTTCTAACAGCTCACCTTAAGAGTTAGCAGCACTACGCTACCAGAGCTCCTTCATAAGGTATGACGATTCTAAATCAGTTTGTAAAAGGCCTCGTATACAATATGGATTCACCACAGGTATTACCAGCTATCATATTGGAAGCTATATACTGGCCATACCTGTGTATATGTATTCATCAAATGCTTGATTCAGACTCTGCTCATTTTTCAAAGTTAGCTGTTTTTAATCTGTTGACATCAATTATTCTTTTCATTTTTTTAACTCAAGAAAAAAAAAATTTTTTTAACTATAGATTTTCACAGCAGAAAATTCAAGTAAAAAAGGTATACAATAAAAAGTAAATATCTTAGGTGTACAGTCAGTACAAGACCTAGTGCTAGCTTCTCATTCTTTAAAAACAACAGAATCTTACTGCTTTGTTTTTAGTGTTACCACTTTCTTGAAAAGTTACAATTTTACCTGTCCCTCAAGATGCGAGTACTTTCATGTCAACCTTGACACGTACTCATTCTGCATAAACTATTAGTGACAACCCAAATGCTATTGAAATAAATAGCTCAATTCTTATCCTTACATTCTTACTTTTGTGAATTATCTGTCATCCCTCAAATACAAATATACTGTGATAAAAAGACTAGGTCTTTTTAGAAAGTTTAGCATCTCTAAATTTTGTGAAAATAGGGCTCCCAGGTACCCTTGTATTGTAAGGAAAAATTCTGAAAAATGAATTCAATAAATACCATGTCAACTCATGTCTACATTTTTTATAATAAAATCAAAATATATAGAATTATAAGCGGTTTTGTTTTAAAAACCCCAGAAATGCCTCACGTGAGTTCATTATCTCTATCTCGCATAGATGCCGAGCATATAAGCAGTGCACAATGAATAAATGCAAGACTAACTGGGGACTCTATGAAGTAGAAGAAGTCATAAAAGTGAGAAAAACCTCAGTTTAAAACATTCTCGTGGAGGCTGACTGAAGCACCACTCTCCGTTAAGGTGTTGGCAGAGCTGTGGCTCTCACTTTCCTCTCTCTCCCATCCATTTGTAGGGAAAACAGCTTCAAGGTAGGCAGGTGGAGCAATGGATGATACCTTTCCATACCGCTGAGTTTTGAAAGTACTACTACTATGAACAATAAAACGACAAAAGAACACTGGGGTTTCTTTTTTTAACAACTTACCGATGATTTTACTTTATCAGGATCGACTCTGTCATAAACTGAAGTGCAATACACAATCACTATCAGAAGACTCAGAAGAAAGGCACTGCAGCTTACAAATTCAAAAAAGTAAAGTCCTCCACACATAGTACATTGTGAAACAACTTCTTCACAGATGAAGGCCAGCAGAGACAGTAACTACAAAAGAAATGGAACATTTTATTGTTTTTCAGAGAAATCTACAGCATATAGAAAGTATCATTTGCTCACCCAAATATTTATCATGTGAAGCTCATGGCCATCGAGATTACTGAATGGCCCCCCACCCCTATCCAAACAGAACTTAAGTCAGGTTACCATACAGGTACACAAATCATTAAATACAGCATGCTAGAAACAATGCAACTGAAATGTTCCTAAAAGTGAGGAAGGGGAGACTGTCTTGCTAACTGTGGACACATCTATCAGGAAATGCCAGTCGCTAGAGAAGGGCATCTTGTTTGGAGGAAGGTCAATGAAAATGAGGACAACCATCAGTGAGGTGGACTGACAACAACAGCGTCAACATGAGCTCAAACCTATCAAAGGTCCTGGAGAGAGGGCAAAACTGGGTCATGTTTGCTTCTGTGTATACATAAAACTGTCAGGAGCAGAACCAGCTCAATGACAACAAAAATGCTAGTACAAACCAAGTACGGTTTATCAAAGTACGTAGGTTTTATGATAGCATGTAAAGCCTAAATTTGCATTTCAGCCACTCTGAAGTGCACAATTCAGTGGCACTGTGTTCACAATGTTGTGTAACAATCACCATTTCTTCCCATAACCTTTTTATCACCCCAAACACAATCTCTGTACCTATTAAATAATAATTCCCTCTTCCTGTCTACCCCCCACAACCCAAGATGGATGTATTTCGTGATGGTTCTTGTTATCTGCTGCCATGAAGTCCCATGAAGTCAATTCTGACTCATGGCAACATTTATGTACAACAGAACAAAATATTGGCCAGTACTGTATCGGCTTCACAATCGCCAGCATGTTCAAGTCCATCTTACTGAGGGTCTCCTTTGTCCTTGTGGACCTATATTTTCACCCCAAAAATGTCCTCCTGGTGACTGATCCCTCCTCATCGACAGTGTGTCTAAAGCATGCAAATCAACAATGTCCTGCTGTGACCCATAGTTTTCGCTGGCTAATACTTGGATATTGCCTTTCTTCATAACAGAAAGTAGGGCTTTGTTCCTCGTCTCTCATTCTGGAAGCTCTGTTAGAACCATCAATGGCATAACTTCTAACATTGTAGCAACACATAAGCCAAGGCAGTACCACAAACTGAATTTTACTACAGTAAATTTAAAGACTTTTATTCAACAACAACCTTGACAAAAGGAGTGAAAAGGTAAATCACAAACTAGAAGAAATTCACTGCAACAAAGAGCTCCTACACAGAATATATAAAGAATTCCTATGAATGAGTAGGACAAAGACAAGTAACCCAGACAAACAAACTGAGCAAGAGGCTTATCAGACATTTCACAAAACATCCAAATGGAGAAAAAGCATATGAAAAGACTCTCGCTCTCATTAACAAACAAAATGCTAATAAAACCCATTGGAATGACAAAAATTTTCAAAGCTGAAAAAACCAAGTGTTCAAGAAGATACATGGAATAAGAAATTGTTAGAAGTTTAAATTGGTACAGTCACTTGGAAAAGTTAATTTGGTATTATAAACCAAATCTGAATCACTGCATGTATCCTTTCTTAACTGGTAATATCTCTCCAAGGTATATCTATCCATGAGGAAGTTATGCAATATGTACAAAAATGATTGTAACAGTATTTTTTCTTAAAGATCCATACTGAAAACAACTCAAACATTAGGTTATATAGAGCTGATTCTGACTTACAGTGACAACTTATAGTGACCCTATATACAACAGAGCCCTGGTGTGGTGCTGTAGGATAAGCACTTGACTGCAAGGTCAGTTGAAACCACAAGGTCAGCAGTTCAAACCCACCAGCGGTTCCTCAGAAATGTTATACAGGTTTGCTGTGAGTCGGAACAGACTCGACGGCACTTAACACCATGTACAACAGAATGAAATGTTGCCTGGTGCTGTGCCATCCTCAATCATTGCTGTGTTTAAGCCCACTGTTACAGTGACTGTGTCAATACAGCTTGCTGACGGTCTTCCTCTTTTTCTCTGACCATCTATTTTACAAAGTATGATTTCCTTCTCCAAGGACTGGTTCCTTCAGATAACATGTCCAAAGTATGTGAAATGAAATGAAGTCTCATCATCCTCCTTTCTAAGGAGTATCCTGACTGTTCTTCCAAGATAGGTTTGTATATTCTTCTGGCAGTTCATGTATATTCAACATTGTTCACCAATACTGTAATTTAAAGGCATCAATTATCCTTTGGTCTTCCTTATTCATTGTCTAGCTTTTGCACGCACATAAGATGATTAAAAATACCTTGGTTGCTTGGATCAGGCTCACCTTAGTGCTCAAAGTAACATCTTTGCTTTTTAATACTTTAAAGAGGTCTTTTGTAGCAGACAAGCCCAATACAATAAGTCATTTAACTTCTTGACTGCTGCTTGTATGGGTCCAAGCAAAATGAAACCTTTGGCAACTTCAATCTTTTTTCTGTTTATCATAATATTGCTTACTGATCAAGTTGTGGGGGACTTTTTGTTTGTTTTTATGTTGAAGGCTGTAGTCTTTGATCTTCACAGTAGTACTTCAAGCCCTTTTCAGCAAAAGCAAGGTTGTGTCATCTGAATATCACAGGTTAGTGAGTGTTCCTCCATTCCTGATGCCACACTCTTCTTGAATTACCTGCTTAGTATGCAGATTGAATAAGTATGGTGAAAGGATATAACCATAAAAGCACAACTTTCTTCATTTTAAATCACTCAGTATCCCCTTGTTCTGTTAAAGTGACTGATTCTTAGACTATATATACAGGTTCTGCAGAAGCACAATTAAGTGTTCTAGAATTTCCATTCTTTGCAATGTTTTCCATAATTTGGAATGTTCCACACAGTTGAATGCCTTTGCATAGTCAATAAAACACACGTAAACATCTTTCTGGTATTTTTGTTTTTAGCCGAGATCCATCTGATGTCAGCAGTGGTATCTCTCATCCCATGTCTTCTTCTGAATCCAACTTGAATTTCTGGCAGTTTCCTGTCAATATACTGCTACAACCGTTCTTTTAATTTCTTCAGTAAAATTTTACTTATATGTGATATTAATGTTATTGTTTGATAATTTCTGCATTATGTTGGATAATTTCTTTGGAATTGACACAAATATGGATCTCTTCCAATCAGTTATCCAGGTAGCTTAATTTCTTGGCATACATGAATGAACACCTGCAGCTTTGCATTCGTTTATTAAAACATCTGTTGGAATCTTGTCAGTTCCTAGAGCCTTGTTGTTTTGTTTTGTTTGCCAATGCCTTCAGAGTCTTGAACTTCTTCCTTCCATATTATCTCTTCTTGATTACATGCTACCTCTTTTCTGGAATGGTTGAACCAATTCTTTTTGATACAGTGACTCTGTCTATTCTTTCCATCTTCTTCTGATGCTTCCTGCATCATTTAATATTTTGCATATACCTTCATTATTGCAACTCAAAACTGGAATTTTTTCTTCAGTTCTTTCAGCTTGAGAAAAGCTAAGTGTGCTCTTTCCTTTTCTAATTTCAGGTCTTTGCACATATCATTGTATTATTTTATCTTCTCAAGCCACCCTTTTGAATTCTGTAACTCTTCATCATTTCTTCTGTTCACTTTAGCTACCTGTCTTAGTCTGGGTTATCCAGAAAAGCAAAACTTCAATATCACATTACTCTATGTTCAAGAGCAAGCAGATATATTGTGCTATCTTCATGTAATGGAATATTATTCAAATGTCAATTTCACTTAGCACTATGGATGAATCTCATAAATTTAGTATAATACAACTAAAATTGAGTAGGAAAAGGAATTGTTTCCATGAAAACAATACTCAATGCTTTGGAAGGAGTGAAGGCTTTGTATTACTTAATTATATGTTTAATTATAAAAAGTATTAGCCCAAACTGGTTTTGAAACACTGACTATAGTTGTGGCTGTGTTGTGAGCAGTAGGCGCCAGTCATTAAGCTTTGCATAGTGAATGGAGACACTGACTAACACATTCAAAGCAGGTGAGTTTGAACTATCCTTCTACTGCTGTTCAATGTTGTATTAACCTACCAGTACCTCACAACAGAGAAAAGTCACAGTTTTTTCCTTTTTTAAAGAGGCATGGGTTTTAAGAGAATAAATTCTTTTTTAAATGTGGCGCATGTGAGGATCTTGCAAGATAGCTAAGAGGAGATATTAGGAGGTTACTGGGTGTATGGATTTGGAGCTCAGAGGAGAGGTCTGGGTTGAGAAGTCACCCGGAATGAGGAAAGTCAGTTTTCATAGAACTCTGAGGAACCCCAAGATCTAAGAAATATGCAGAATGGGAGACACCAGCAAAGGACAATAATGAGCAGCAGTTCATAGGCTAGTAGACCAAGATGAACGTCTACAAAGAGAATAAACAGTGCTAAGGCGCTCTGGTAGTATAGTGGTTACGAATAGGGCTGCTAACCTCAGGGTCAGCAGTTCGAAACTACCAGCTCTTCCATGGAAGAAAGATTAGTCTTTCTGCTCCCATAAAGATTTATAGCCTAGGAAACCCTGTACAGGGTCTCTATGAGTCCGAACCGACTCCACAGCACATAATAACAATAAGAAGTGCTACTTAGAGATCAAGTAAGAACACTGTTATTGTTGTTGTTAAGTGCCGTCAAGTCGATTCCGACCCTGTATAGGGTAGCGAGCTTGAACCACCAACCTTGCAGTTCAAACAGCTTTGCAGTCTGGCCCATTAACCCACAGCACCTCACCAGGACTCCAAGAACAACAATGACACACTTATATTAGACTGAACTATAAGAAGGGTGTAAGGACCTCTGGTAGCATAGTGGTTACGAGTCAGGCTGCCAACTTCAAGGTCGGCAGTTCAAAACTGCCAGCTGTTCCACGGGAGATATATGAGGCTTTCTGCTCCTGTAAAGATTTACAGCCTCGCTATGAGTTGGAGCCGACTCCATGGCACACCACCACCATAAGAAGGGCATAACACTGTGGGTTAATGCGCTGACTG